CTATATTAAGAGGCTATAAAAGGTGTAATAAGTGTAAAGGCATATAAATAGTAATAATTTTATTCTCTTTACAGTACTACTAGAAATTAAGTAAGTTATAGCTTTTATAGCTATTAATAATAAAAAGCTAATAAGCGCTTATAACTTTTTTTTATATGCTTATTAAAGTGCTTTAACTACTACAGCCTAAGCTTATTTATTGTCTAGCTGTTTTTAAAGACTGCAATAACCTAGTTTTAAGGTAAATTCTTCTTTTTATACTAGGCAAAGAGGTAATAGCAGCCCTTAAAAATAATAAAAAGTAAAATAGCCTACCTTGTTATATTAATGCCTTAAATAACTGTTATTTACTTTTTATTACTTTACTATATTACTTTTAGCTGTTTTTATCTCTTTAAAGCTATAATAACTGCTTTAGTTAATATCTAGCCTCTTATAAAGCCTAACTTGTTAAAGTTATATGTGTCTTTATTTTAGATACTATACTTAGCTTTTATGTTAGCTACTAGGCAAAACTAGCCTTAGATAACCTTTAAATTATTATAAAGCACTCTCTTATAATTATACTTATAATTAAACTATATTATAAACTTAGAGCAGTGCTTAACCTACATACTAGGCTAGTTTAAGCTAACCTAGCCTAGATTACACTCTGCGCGTAAGGAATTAGCTATATTAGCTACAGCTATAAGCCTAGAGAGAAATTTGTGTGTAATAAGCTTAAGTATGTACTTAACAACTACCTTTTTTTTAAGCTTAGTTAGATTTCTTAATTTAAGCTAGCATTCTACTTATAAAGGCTGTCTAGCGCGTTACTTACTTAGTATTATATAAAAGACTTTATAAATAGCTGCAGCATGTTATAACAAAAGTTTTAAGTCTTATTTAAAAGCCTAAAAAGTAAGCTGTATCTAATATTTTTTAGAAGATTTAATCTAGTGTTGTTGTTAAGGCATTATGTAGATAGGTAGAGTGTAGTAGGGGCTTAGCAAAAGTAGCTAGCTAACCTGTGTGGCCGGCTAACCTGTTAGGTACGTTAAGTATAATTATAAAAAAGCACTTTATAAAAATCTAGAGGTTATCTAGGGCTAGTTTTACCTAGTAGCTAACATAAAAGCTAAGTATAGTATCTAGAATAAAACCACATATAACTTTAACAAGTTAAGCTTTATAATAAGCTAGATATTAACTAAAGTAGTTATTATAGCTTTAAAAAGATAAAAACAGCTAAAAGTAATATAGTAAAGTAATAAGAAGTAAATGATAGTTATCTAGAGCATTAACATAATAAGGTAAGCTATTCTACTTTTTATTATCTTTAAAAGCTGCTATTTCTTCTTTACCTAGTATAAAAAAAAATTTACTTTAGAACTAGGTTATTATAGTTTCTAAAAATAGCTAGATAATAAATAAGCTTAGGCTATAGTAGTTGAAGCACTTTAATAAGGATATAAAAAGAAAAGTTATAAGAGCTTATTAGCTTTTTATTATTAACAGCTATAAAAGCTATAACTTACTTAATTTCTAGTAGTACTATAAAGAGAATAAAATTATTACTATTTATATGCCTTTACACTTATTACACTTTCTATAGCTTTTTAATATAAGTTGTTTTACTCTTTTAAAAAAAGTGTATAAGCGCTAAGCTAAAGATTTTATGTGTAACTAAATTACTTATATTATAAAACTTAAGTTTTTACTATGCTTTATACACACTTATAATATAGTAATTACTTTTAGTAATATTTAAAAAACATTTTAAAGCGCTAGTTTAGTCCTATTTAACTTAAAATAAGTTAAAATAGCCCTTAACATTTAGTTATGTACTCTATTACTACTACTACTTATTAATAATAAGCCTTAGTAGTCGTAAACCTTAAGTAATACTTTTAAATTTAAGTTATAATTAATGCTTATAAAAGTAAAAATTTAAAAGTATATAAATAGCTTACTAACATTTATAGTAAAGGCCTTTAAAAAAGTTTTAAAAGGGCAGTAATTATTACACATAAGCTAGTATTAGTGTAAAAGAAGATTATAAAGCTTTAAGTAGTAAATAAAGCTACTATATAACATAAATTATATAAAAGAAAGTAGATTTAAGTAAAAAAAACCTTAATAGTTAAAAATAAGGCTTGTCTAACTGCTCTAAAAGAGTTTAGAGTATATAGTAATAAGAAGAAGCTAAAGACATAGGTGTGCGCTAAAAGAGGTAAGCTAAGTTAAAAGTAATACAGGTAGTGTAATTAGACTAGGCATAACTTATGTATATATAAGTAAGTAGTAAAAGTAGACTTTAAATAATATCTTGTGTTATATTGCTTTATATAGGGCTAAAGTAGGCTGTTTTGCGCTAGAATAGAGTGGTTTTAGTAAGGGCTTGGCAAAAGTAGCCGGCTAACCTATGTGGCCGGCCAACCCGTTAGGTACGTTATATAGTACTAAAAAAAAGTAATACTAAAAAAGTTATATAGCTAAAATATTCGCCTAAAAGCGTAGAAGAACTAGTAGTACACAACAATTATATTCAACTATACTACTACACATACACTTTTTTTATATAAAGAAAGGGTTATTATATACACTTAACCTCTAGCGTATAGGCTAGATGTTACGTTCTAAATTAAAATTAGATATAAAAAATATATAAACTTTTAAAAATTATTTTAAAATAGGCTATATAAAAAGTCTTACGAAAAATATAAACTTTAAAACTATGTAATAGAATATGTTTTTTTGCTATTTGTTTTTCTTCTACATAATTAACCTTCTAGTACCTCTTACATTATCTAACCTTTATAATGTTAACATATAGCTGCTCTGCTAGCAGCTACAAACCGACAGACAGGTTTTGTTAGCTGTCTAATCTATGTGCAGCCTCTACAGGCCGCACCAACAACTAGCTGCACCACTAGCAGCTTAATAATCAACAGGCAGTCTCTGCTAGCTGCCTTAACAACTAGCTGCGCCGCTAGCAGCATCAACAACCGCTGCACAGCTAGTAACAACACAGCCACGCACTGCCAGCTGCCTCAACAACTAGTTGCTCTACTAGCAGTTGCTTAGACTAGCTATGCGCATCTAGTTTTTTACTTCTTTATACAATAAACAACCTAATTCAGCAGCGCTAAGCTAAGATACAGGCTCTGAGAGCCAAATTATAGCAGGAAATATAAAGCTTACGCAACAAGAACTAAGCGCTTAGAGCTACACTAACTAACTATTGTTGCCTCCGCAACTCTATCTTGTCTCAAGCTAGTGCTCCTATACTAGCTAGACAATCAAGGAATGCTCTCCACTAACGTTATACCTTCTGTTGCGTCGCTAAAAGGTCAACCGTCCAACTAGCACAGCAGAAGGATATATATAGGCGGATAATTGTATGCGACACCTTCTTTGCCTTGCGCTCTCTTGGCTTGGGTTCATGATTGCCTTTTAACTTGAAATAACAAAACAATTAAAAGCAAAATACAAGCCAAGGTAGTCTTAAAATATTGCAAATTCGCTAATTACGTACGAATCCCCTGTCGAACGCGAAATTATTTACAAATCTCTTTCTGCTATTTTCGCATTGAATGCTGGTAGACAGTCTTTTTATCGCTTCTAATTATCAGCCTTTACCTAAAGGTAGACTGTCAACGCGGTGCAAACTGTATTGTTTCTAATATAAGAAACATTTACTTATAAACAAATTTTTTAATAAACATTATGTTGAGTCTAGAGGTAGCTTTAGGCGTCCTGATAGCGAGAACTGTGTACAAATGCGGCGTGAAAAATTATCTATAGATTCCACATTTATAGCTATATATAGCGAGGTCAAATCTAACGCTACACTGCTCTCATGTAGGCCCTAGCCACGGTCAACACTTAGCGTTCAGCACTTTTCCTGTCCCACCCCTGACTGCTGATATACACGTCTAATCTGCGGTTCATGAAATTTCTAGACATTAATGGAGTAGCCTTCAGCGACAGAAACATTCATTAAGTACCCATATAGTAACAGTCCTTAACCAAATGTATTAACCCTCATGCTAAATCTTCTAGATCCTTTCTGCCAACCATTGATTCTATGCTACTAGGCTAGACAGGGTACCGATCCACGTGTATTGAACATGGGGTCGCCCTTTCCACCCCCAGCGGACCGAGACTCACACGCAGCCCAAGATGTCGTTATTCCCGCGTATCTTATTCGGGGTTCAGCGAGCTTCGCCCGAGATGTTGGTCTCACGCCAATATTGCAGCCTCAGCTAGGCACCGCAGCTGCCAATAATCCACGGCGAAGAAAGTCAAGGGGTATTGTTAAATGGGAAACATCACACAATGGCACTGCAGAGGTCAGAAGGGCCAAGACCACGCCGAATGGAATGAAGAAGGGTCGATCTACAAACTGCACTTCTGCAAATGTAACGAGGTATACAACTGCGAGTGCACCAAGAAGCGTAATGAAGACACACGGGGGAGCTTCAGTCATGCCACCAGGGAGCGTTTCCAATCGGGGCGTTAGGTTTTCATTTACACCTGGATTTACGGAAGCATTCTCAGTAGAAGAGTCGACAAATCGGATCGACACTACAGCGGTTGGACATGAAGCCGACGATTTTGCCATCGACCGAATTTATGAACATTATTCCCAAGATTTTGCGAACGACTTAATCTCTGACCCATTCCAATCACCATCTAACATTGTGTCTGGAGATAGCCATGAGATCGAGACTGCAATTGCTCAACAACACTCCCACGACGTTGTGGTTAACCGAATTTCCGCCCAATGTCAATCACCACCCATCACAAAACCTATATCTTTCCCCGTAGTATCGAATCCATTTCTATCAGCGAGGGATCCAGTCTCAAATAATATTGATTGCGCTGGATCATTCGAATCAGTTGATCGACAAGACTCAACCTCGCCACCGACGAGCTCAGAATCATTTGTTGGCTTTCCTGAGAGGGCATATATCCCTTCACGTAGAGGGTCCAAAATAGGAACGCTTGAAAAGGCCATGGATAGACCAGTATTAAACACCCATCAGCGAAAGCTCACAAGCGCTACAATTAGTAGTAGGATTCGCCGTACTAGCGTGTATGAGACATACGAAAGGGCCAAAAATCGAGGCGCGCGATTGCAGAGAAAGAAATGGGTGCAGGTAACATTTGAGTACGGCACATATACTTTCATATTAGCCTTTGTATACTTCGTTCTCATTGGCGTGCCACTTTGGAAAGGATCTGTATACTGGCTTTGGTGGGTTGTCGCAAATAAGTTTGTCTTTGCTGGAGGATTTGGGATCACGCTTGGCATAGCTCTATTGTAGGTCACTCTCAACAGAAGCTTACCGTCATTGTTGACTAAGTCTAGCTACGCCTTTGCCCCTCTTCTCGTATTATTCGAAGAGGGACCAAGGGCTCAAAGTTTGTCCGGAATAGAGTCTAAGGTGGATCCAAAGGTCGGAGACACAGCACTCATGATCCCCTGCTACAAATCGGCAGGCCTGATTGCGGCCACTCTTGAGGCCGCACTCAAAATTTTCCCTCCCTCACACATATTCGTTATCGCAAACGGTAACAGTCCTACACCACTCGACGATACTGAGGAGGTGTGTCGGCCATACGGAGTAAATCACGTATGGTCGCCGATCGGAAGCAAACTCGTTGCGCAATTTGTCGGATGCTTCGCTACGAAGGATTTCAAATATGTCCTGTTGATTGATGATGACTGCGCGCTTCCCTCAAACTTTCCTATTGTCACAGATCGGTTAGTTGGAAAGGTGCAATGTATTGGATACACCATTAAAAGTGTTGGGCCGAACTCATCTAAAGGAAATCTGTGCCAACAGTAAGTGCGTGCCCGACGTGTGGTTTACCCGATATTCGATTTGAAATATGGTCGGACAAGCTAACAAGCGGACAGGGCACAAGACTTGGAGTACAAACTTAGTGGTCTTCAGCGTGACTTCGCTGGACGTGTGGGCTCGGCTACATTTCCTCATGGCGCGATATCACTTTGGGATCGCCAAACACTCATGAAGACTTTTTACGAACATCCTGGCTTCAGTGTCTCTGAGGATTGGTTCTTTGGACACGTTGCTCGAAAGCTGGGCTGCAGAATAAAAATGTGTTCCAGTGTCTTCGTCGAGACTGAAACACCTACCGCAGTTTTATTCTCGAGAGGGGGTTCCCGGGGTGGATTTGGCGAGATGACAATATTCAAGCAGCGGTTCATGCGGTGGAACTTCTTCTTCGTGAATGGCCTGTGGTACAACCTCTCATACATCTTTTGTAGCTGGAAATTGGGATGGTACGAAATTGGTGCAAAAGTCTTCGTGTTCCAAGAGGTGTGCCATTTCAGCTGCTCCACTGGATTTGCACAAATAGCTGATACCCGTCAGGTTTACGAGACGATACTCTATCTTTTAACGCCTTTTATCCTTCCAATATCCTTCTACGTCCGCCCATCATTTTGCGGGATCCTCCTCGCATCAACAATCCTCATGTACCTGATCAACACCATCATTTTCAACGAAGTGCATCTTCGTCAAAAGAATGAGCGGCTTGGTTGGGTGTTGGTTTATATTTATTACTTGCCATACAAGATCATATTGACCTTCATTAATGTCGCAAGCTGCTATTGGTTTGTCCAACCTCATTCACCCCCTTCCCTGCATATTATTCTTACGACAAATTCAAGGTCATTGTGGCAGTACGCGCGATACTTCGCTCGCCGCCACCCTAAGGTCACTGAGGATGAAAAAGCCGTTGAGATCGTTGTGCGCCTTGAAGAAAGCAAAGCCGCTGCGGCATCTGGACTTGGCCGTCGCCTAACTGTTAAGGCTATCAGCTCACAAGATATTTCTAATTAGTATTCTTCTATGGAGAACAGGATAGGAACAGCTTATTCTAGTAAAGTAGTGCATAGGTGCCTAACCCTTGGTAGCTTTTGTGGCTACCTAGGACGTAACTTAGACTCTTTCTAGAGAGCATTTAGATAAGCTCTAGACGTATAATATTCTAATAGATGCTCTAAATTACACCACTGGCAAGTTACTCACACACTTGAGTCGCTTACTTTTGCTAAGACTACAGTGTACGTTATAGGAAAGAATTAAAAGAACGCTAGTTTTAATAAAAAAACGCTAGTACTAAAAGAGCGACTACTGCTGCGCTAATTTATATTAAGGTGAAACACTTTGTTATGTAACGTACTTTAACCTGCGCTAATTTTCACGTGCGACAACTCCTTTTCTTACAGTTTAGTCCTGAATCTTTCCTGTGGACAAACATCAATTGTTTTCACCCAAGCCTCGCTTTACAAACCGGACAGGGGAGTGATTTGATGGGTATAGACTATGGTTGAAACCTAAATCCTCGTACAGGGATGTAACAGCGCTTTCTCTCGCTTTGTAGAGAGCCCACTCAGACACCAATTCTTTCGTATTCGCATTCTGTATATCTTCTTTGTCAAGGACCAACTCCACGCTATATTCGGAGAAGATACGGGTCAATACTCCACCGACCAAGATCTCTGCGAACTTCCTTCCAGGACACATCCTTTGCCCACCACCAAAGGGGAAGAAGGCTGAGTCATTCGGTTTCTCCTCATCAAGCCAGCGTTTCGGACTGGACTGAAGAGCTGGGGATTTTTCTGTACTCCCGGGGTCGGACTAGTATCGTGGATGCCGAAACATTGCGGCGAAGTCGAGCATGCAGATTGGCCCCTCCACGATGAAGCATGTTCTTCCACTTCCGTCGACGATAGTCGTGTCGCTTTGTGCACGTTTTGGGAGCCATTCTACTGGAGTGTAGAGACACAGCGTTTCTTTTACTATTGCTCCGAGATAACCTGCATACAGCGGCTGGAAATCCTGTCGAAGGTTCCAGTCAGAATGGGACCGTCCGCCAATAGCCGTATCAAGCTCTCCCTGAAGTTTGCTCTGGACGTCCGTGTGGAGAGTAAGTAAGAGTATAGCAAACGATGTAACTGTGGAGGCAGTGTTGTGCCCTGCGAGCATGAAGAAAAATATATTTCCAAGGACTTCATCTTGTGACAAGTGTAATGGCTTCTCTGAATGAACATCTTCGGTATTACCCGCAGATATCAGCGACCCTGGGAGGTAACAGTGGTTAGTAAGTGCGGACGAAAGCGCTTTACTGTATTTTCGATGCTTACCCAGCAATGTTTTGAATCTATTCTGTGTGTCAGATTTGGTCAGGCCCAACGATGTTTGGTCATGCATTCGTAACATATGGCGCTTCCATTCGTTGTATGGTCGATCCCCTAGCTGGATAATGCCAGATGGAAGGATACCTACTTCAATGAGTCTATTTGTCTGCTGATTGAGGATTTAACTGCTTACGCTTAAACCAAAATGGGAGGGACCGCAGCAAAACTATGATGCCGAGACTGTCATTTACCTTCAGTAGCGCCTCACTGAACGACTTCTCGTCATTCTTAGTAGTTCTTGGCCCCGATCGACAATCTTCCAAATGAATGGTTTCCCCAAAGAATACTTTCGCAATAACACCGATGATGAGTTTTGCCGCGACTTTTTTCTTCACATCTGTGATCGGAATGCCGTCATTTGACCACGTCTTTGTCAACTCATCTGTTTTCTCTAGGCGCTCTCTCCAAACCGTGGTGTTAGTCTCTGTATTGAAATACGGTGTTGTGACTTTTCGAATTCGTCGCCAATGCTCCTCTTTGGATGCAGCTAATGTCGGTCCGTAGATGTTGTAGATGTACAGAGTCTCAATGGGAGCTTTGAAATCGTGGGACCGAGCGAAGATTTGTTGACAAACTTCAGGATCACACGTAAGAAGCATGTTGCCGGACGAGGAGGTTATGATGAATGAGTCAGATTGAATGGCTTGAAAGGGTTCATATCCAGCATGCCAGACTCGAAGTAGTATAGACCACCTGTATCCCGGTGTTAATTCGATCCTTCTTTTGAGGAAAAGCGATACATACGGAAACCAAGTTCGGATTAGGTCCAGAGGGGCCCATTTCGTCACCGATGCAGCAACTTTATGTGTTAAGATATACAAGGTGTCGTTGACGTGTACCCTAGGCAGACTAGTTCTAATCCGATACCTTCTAAGTGAGTCTCTGCTACTTACAAGGAGGTCATGGAAGGCCACCCGCTTTCCGAAGCGAGCTTTCGATGTTTTCTCAGTGCGTAGAGCCAATACAGACACTGATATGCAAGCCAGATAACTAGAAGCGCACTAATGAGAGCGAGCATCCCCGCAGGTCTGGCGGTGGTTGACATCTCCTTTAAGAGGGGTATGAGGGATTCTGAAGAGGCAAGGAAGTCCTGCCAGGAAGTGCCTAAAGTGCTGGTGGGGGAAATTGGATGGGGAAAGGTAGACTAGGAAAGACTCATAGTAAGAAATTGGTACAGGGAGATGCCGCAATGTATGGGGTGCAGCTGTCAGATATGAAAGGATCCCACCGAAGCGACAGTGCAAGGATGCGTACACAGGAGGACAGGGAGTACACCAGTCCGTGCACGACCTATCCGCCCCAGACGCTGAGAACACTGGGCCCACGCTTGTATCATACGTGCAAAACAAGGCACCGAAAGAGCGACCTAATAAAATTAACGGTACAGAACGAGAAGAAATTGAATGAGATTTTATAAGCAAGGAATTATAAAACGTCTGGGACCTAAGAGAGAGGCTCTTTCAGAGTCGTGTCTGCCCCTTGAAGATTCTAAAATTTATGATTTCGCGCCTTTAGAGCTCTTCTCCACTAGTTTTGTCACGAAATCCTTAACGCTTACATCCTAAGGAAGCCTATCTGTCCCTAAGCCCTTCTTATCCATAAGTGATTGTCTTATTCATAAAACCTTTCCCATAGCCTCCCGCTGCAGCATTGTCTCATGCCATGCCTGCACATTCGGGAAATTTTCACTGGACTCTCTTCTCCGAAGTAGCTTAGCGCGATCACAACATTCCACATCGCAAACGCTAGGTCTGCGTACGTACACTTGTCGCCAACAAGCTAGTTCTTCCCTTCAAGATGGGCATTGAGGATACCCAGGATACGAAGGGCTTGCTGGTCGTAGCGGTCGATGACGGAGGGAAGCTTCTCCCGGTGGAAAACGCAGAACCTGCCACGAGATTAATGAAAAGGGCGTGACACTTATACAAAGAAATGAGCATGAAACAGAGCGTTGACTCACCACCTTACTTGCCCATAAAATGGGCCCTGCTGGCTTATCTGAAACATTAACCACTGCCTTAACAAATGCTTCTTAGTGAAAGTGTTGTAGGTCAGTTCCTTCTGAGTGTCATACTCCTTAATCAGATACTAGATGATGGCACCAGACTCCTAGAGGATAAGATTCTTGTTTGGATCGCATATTGCTAGTATTTCGAATTCCTTAGCCAAGCTAATACTGGGGGCCGCCATCGCTTCATCCGGAATATGGAAGGCGGGCGGGAGCAGGGGGGGGGCAGAAGTCGGCTATGGGAAGGAACAAGGGGGAGGAGAGGTGGAAGGGAAGGGGATGTACCAGGAACCTTTCCATTTGGATTGATCTTCTTGTATTCGGACCCTAGTACTTCTTCCCAGGAGAGGAGTTTGAGTTCGTATGGGATACCAAGTTCTTCAAGAATTATGACCGGCTGTTCATGTGAGTAGAAGATATAATAGTTGGAAGATTGGCGGTACACATACTTTCCATGGGTTGGGGCCTGCCGCTGCTGAGTGTCAGATTGGATGCTTTCAAGTTGGGGAACTGGGCTTACAAGTAACCCAGATCTTGATAGGCTCGAGTGAAGACATTACTGTGTGCGCCGTGGGAGGAAGAATAGTGTAGGGCGAAGATGCTGCGGAACTTGGAATAAGGGCTTAGGTAGTTGATCGTAGGGGCCTTGATGACCTTAGGCCGTGGATCGGACGGCATAATATATGATACTATGGTTAGATCTTGGAGCGGGATTCTGAAGGATGAGAGCAGCGGGATGCCTATGGAATGTGGCTGTGACGGTGCATAATAAGAACAATATGAACCCTAACTGGGCCCTTGAAGGTTCAAGGTAGACTAGTGCAGCGTAAGTGGGGCAGGACTGGACCCATTGGAGCATGCATCGAGACTCGTAATTCCGCAGCTAAATCTAGGCTATGGAGAAACAGAAGAGCTGCTTCGAAAAATGAAACATACCCGGTGTATGCCCCGTGTCAATATCGGAGCCGGGGCGCGTTCCAGTAGCACCCATTTTGAGGCTGGTGTTAGTGCAGCCAACGCTGAGGTAGTTATCAGCGACCACAAAAGGAAGAACTTCTTTATTTCTGCCATGCCATTTAATGCATTTCACAAAACGCCATCAAGTTCCTGAACAACCCTATCCCCGGCTTGGAGATTCATAATGTCCCAGCTCAATATCATACCTAACATTAATACTCGTATCCTGTTGTAAATGCCTTGTGCTATTTGTCTCACTTGCCGCTTTCGCATACCCACTGGACCTTCCCCCTTGTGTACCAAACGGAGTAGAATACACCCCGCTACCAGTGCGTAACTTCTGAGAAGTAAACAAGCTGGAAACCTTTGATCCCCACCAAGAGAACCAAGTCCCAAGGCCATTCTCATCACTCGAGAATAGCGGCCTCAGCATTGGCAGCGACGCCGCCATAACAGACGCATTGGGCTCCAATTCCGCCCAAACGAATGCTTTTGTTAGGTTAGCGTAAGCGTTCGGGTTATCAGTGACCGAATGAACACCCTGGTATAAAAGTTGGAGGCGGGCTGCACCGGCCACGCAACAGAGTCCGTCTAGCCAGAAACTCATCATGACCGCGATCTTGTTCCGGTAGGACATTTTCAGCGTGCGGATTACAAGCAGCGGCACCAGGAGTACGATAACGTCAAAGCCGAGGGACATGGCGGCCACGGCAATAGAATAGGCGGCATCGTCGATTACGTAGGTTTCTTCGGGGTTGGTCCAGATTCCGGAAATTGGGTTCGTCTTAAAGATGGAAACCTATAGCTTGCTTTAAAATATATCTCAAACATGGAATTTTTGACAGGATTCACTTACTAACAGGATTGTAATGGTCCACATTGCAATAACGACGATCATGAACCAGACCACGCGAGGGAAAATCGAGACAGAGAAGAGGCGCTGGTAGAAGAGGAGCACTGATATTTTGACCATTCCGAGTACAATTGAGAACGGAATCTCGTTGATCCAGAAAAACTATATCATGACAATTCTGCTCGCTTAGGGTCGTCGTCGAAAGCCAGAGCGTACCTTGAATGTTTCGAGAGCCGCCTCTTCTGGGGACATTCTAATTCTGTTAATCCCGATCGTGGGTCCCATTACCCAGAGAATGATGCTCAAGCCCCAGCATACATGGTGTTTATTAGAACGTAACTGTTACTGTTAGTAGTGTTTTTTAGGTGTTACTAACAGTAATAGGGGTTTATTCTTACAGAAAAAGTAAATTAAAATAGCCTTACTAGCAGTAATAGTTACTACTAAGTTAATTAATAGTAAATCTACTGTTTAGTGTAGTTACTAAAGTAACTAGTGTTTCTAGAGGCTTTAGAGGGCTTAATTTTAACACAATCTTCTTAATATAGTTATAGAGATTATTTAACTTTAAGTAAACAAGTCCTCTAGTAATCTAGTTACGTTGTAGCTATAGAGCCTTAATTATAGAAGGTAATAGCTAGTTTTAATTAATTATAATAGTTTTTCTAGCTTTACTAAAGCACCTCTTGCACCTACAGCTTATTGCAAGGATAGATAGAAAATTAAGGGCTCTCTTATACAGTGTTAAATAGTGCTTACGCCTAATTTAATTCTACTAAGTAAGCAGATCTTTATAAATTATATTATCTTTAGCTATAACTAACGTACTTCATGGGCGAGTTGCTTACACACTCGAGTCGCTCACTTTTGCTAAGACCCCACCCTAACAAACTCTATTATAGCCTATAACAACCCGCTCTAGCACTATATAGTACAGTACAGCCTAGAATATTATTTAGATACTACTTTTACTTCTTGCTTACATGTTTACATGTTATGCCTAGTTTAATTGCACTATCTGCAGCGCCTTTAGGATAGCTTACCTACTTTAGATTACACCTGCTTCTTTACCTTCTTCCTGTTACTGCGCGCTCTAGACTCCTTTAGAGCTGTTAAGTGTAAGCTTTTCTAAATTATTAAGGTCTTTTCTGCCTTAATTTGCTTTTTTTTATATAATTTATATTATATAGCAGCCTTATTAGCTGCTTAAAGCTTAGTAATTTTCTGTTACACTAACACTAGCTTATATATAATTATTACTGCCTTTTTTAAGACCTTTTTAAACACCTTAACTATAAAAGTTAGTAAACTATTTATATTCTTTTAAATTTTTATTTTTATAAGCATTAATTATAACCTAAGTTTTAGAGTATTACTTAGAGTTTACAACTACTAAAGCTTATTATATATAAGTAGTAGTAGTAATAAAGTGCGCAACTTTACATTAAGGCCTATTATAACTTATTATAAGTTAAAAAGAACTAATCTAGCGCCTTAAAACTTTTTTTAGATATTACTAAAAGTAATTATAGCATTATAGGCTACTTTAAAGCATAGTAAGAACTTTATTTTTATAATATAGGTAATCTAGTTACACATAAGGTTTTTAGCTTAGTGCTTATATACTTTCTTTAAAAAAGCAAAATAACCTACATTAAGTAGCTATAAAAAGTGTAATAAGTAAAAAAGTATATAAATAGTAATAATTTTATTATTTTTATAGTATTACTAGAAATAAAGTAAGTTATAGCTCTTATAGCTGTTAATAACTAGTAGACAGTAGCTGCTAATAGTATACTTCTTTATATGCATGTTAAAGTGCTTTAACTAGTCTAAACTAAGCTAATTAGTAGTCTAGCTGCGCTTAGAGATTATAATAACTTAATTTTAAAGTAAAATTTTTTTTATACTAGTTTAAAAGGTAGTTGCTACTCTAGAAAATAATAAAAAGTAAAATAGCCTACCTTTTAGCATTAATGCCCTAAATAGCTGTTGTCTACTTCTAGTTGCCTAGCTAGACTACTTTTAGCTGTCCTTATCTCTCTAAACCTATAATAACTGCTCTAGTAGATATCTAGCTTATTATAAACTCTGTCTTATTAAAGTTATATATGTTGTTATTTTAGATGCTATACTTAGCTTTAATATTCTTTATAAAGTTAAACTAGCTTTAAATTACTATAAAATTCTTATAAAAAGCTTTTTTATAGTTATACTTATGCTTAAACTTTACTTTAAGCTCTAAGTAATGCTTAACAAACATATTAAGCTAGTTTATGCTAATATAGCCTATATTATACTTAGCGCGCAAAAATTAGCTATATTAGCTATAGCTGCTAGCTAGGGGAGAAATCCTTATGTATCTAGCTTAAGTATGTGCTAAATAATTACCTACTTTTTATTATTATCTAGCTTTTATAAGTTAGCTATATAATTAGCTTAAAAAGGTTATCTAGCGCGTTAGTTGCTTATTATCTTTTAAAAGACTTTATAGATAGCTGCAGCGTGTTGCTTAAAAAGTGTTATGTTTTATTTAAAAGCTTAAAGTATAAGCTATATCTAATGTTCCTTTAACATGTTTAAGTAGTGTTATTAAAAATGCATTAGTGTAGAAAGAGTAGTGTAGTAAGGTCTTAGTAAAAGTAAGCAACTTAGGTCTGTAAGCAACTTGCCTATGAAGTACGTTAGAAGATTAAATTAAGTAGTATTAATATACTGCTATAGCTTGTTTACTATATGTGCCTTTTTAGCGCTTAAAGATCTAGTAAGAAGGTAAAGATTAACATGTAAAGTTTTTATAAACTGCTTATTATAGTACTTACTACCTAGTGTTTTATATTATTAACTTTTAGCAAGTATTGTTATCTTTTACTTTTACTTTTAAGCTTTATATTATGTGTAGATCTCTTTTATACTCTTTTTAGCTTTTTTTTACTAAGTTATAAACAACACCTACTTTTTCTTAGAACTAAATAAAGCATAGAGATAAGTTTAAAAATATTATAACATAGTAGTATAAAATAAAAGAATCTATTATAAAAGTTATAAAGTATGTTGTTAGCTTACTAATGCTGCGTTTATAAACCTTTTTAAAGTAAAAAAACTATTCTATTTTTTAGGCCTTATAAAAGTAAATCTAGAGGTGTTAGAGATCTATAAGAGTATGCTAGAGAGATCTATATCTGCTTATACCTAGATCTTCTTTAGGGTGTTTAGTTATTTAATAAAAAGGCTTAAAAAAGTTTATAAGCTGCTTAGCCTTATTTTAATTTTTATTAGTAAGAGTGTTAGCTAGAAGGCTAAAACTATTACACTTATTAATCTTACACTTATTAGTAGCTTTTTATTAGTATGTAAACTTTAAGATAGCCTTTTTAAGATCTAAATAGTAAAGAAGCATTAAGTAGGTAAAATTCTATCTAATTTTACTATCCTACACTAGTTTAAGCGTGTTAAATATCTAAAAAGAGTCCTTTTTAAGAACTTAACACTAGATAGTAGTAAAGAGCTCTTTTTACTTATATAAAGCTATAATTATGTTTATAAAGTTATAAAGTTTACTAATTATAAGAAGCATAGTTAGTAAAAACGCTTTTTGTTTTTATATACTTAAACTTTTACTATAAATAATAGACTTAGCTATTAGGTTTATTATATACCTTATGTAGTATATTTAGTGTGTATTGCTTACAGAGAGCTTAGAGAGCTTATTAAGGGCGTAGATAAAGGTGTTATTATTATTAAAGGCATTATCTGTTATAAAGCAGCTAAATTTTAATACAATGCTGTACTTATTAATAACTATAATAGCTGCGTAGGTAAGGTTTAATCTAGAGTAGTTTCTAAGTAGATTTTTAAAGCTAATAAGAACTTCTTAAGCCTTATTATTAGCATCTAAATAAAAGTTAAATTTAAAGTTAATAATAGCGTACAGACTATCTTGCTTACTAATAAAGTAAGTAACTACTACTAGAAAAAAGTAATAGTTTAAAGATTTTTATACATCTACACTTAACATAAGTTTACTTTTACTTTTATTTAGTATTAATTATATCTCTTTCTACTAGGCTTTTAGTACATTCTAGATATAAGTTAATAGTGTAGTAAAGGCAGATAGTAGAGCAGCTAGAAGATTAAGTTAATTCTAGGTAATAAAGCCCTAAAACTTTAATAATATAGCTTAGTAAAATAAAACATCTTTAACTATTATAAAATTAATAAGAGCCTTTAGCAATCTTTTTTTCTACTATAGCATGTAAAAGCTTTTAGCACTACTTCTAGCAATTATTACTAGTTTAAATAAGTTTTAATAAAGTAATAAGCTATTAAGAAGATAGTTGCTTTTAAAGATATTAACTTTATACTTCTTTTAAAGGTAGGCAGTAATATAGGCTGTAGAATTAACGTACGTCACAGGCGAGTTGCTTACACACCTAAGTCGCTTACTTTTGCTAAGACCCCACCCTAATAAACTCTATTATAGCCTATAACAACCCACTCTAGCACTATATAGTACAGTAGAGCTTAGAATATTATTTAGATACTACTTCTACTTCTTACTTACGCATTTGCGTGTTATGCCTAGTCTAATTACACTATTTGCAGCGCCTTTAAAATAGCTTACCTACTTTAGCTTACATCTGCTTTTTTACTTTTTTTCTATTACTATGCGCTTTAAACTTTTTTTAAAGCTATTAAGTATAAGCTTTTCTAAATTATTAAAGTCTTTTTTACCTTAATTTACTTTCTTTTATATAATTTATATTATATAGCAGCCTTATTAGCTTTTTAAAGCTTAGTAATTTTTTATTATGCTAACACTAGCTTATGCGTAATTATTACTACTTATTTTTAAAACTTTTTTAAACATTTTAACTATAAAAGTTAGTAAACTATTTATATACTTTTAAATTTTTATTTTTATAAGCATTAATTATAACTTAAGTTTTAAAGTATTACTTAAAGTTTATAACTACTAGGGCTTATTATATAAGAGTAGTAGTAGTAATAAAGTGTGTAACTTTACATTAAAGCCTATTATAACTTATTATAAGTTAAGAAAAACTAATCTAGGGCTTTAAAACCTTTTTTAGATATTACTAAAAGTAATTATAGCATTATAAACTGTTTTAAAGTATAGTAGAAACTTTATTTTTATAATATAAGTAATTTAGTTATATATAAAGTTTTTAGCTTAGAACTTATACACTTTTTTTAAAGAAGTAAAATAACCTACATTAAGTAGCTATAAAAAGTGTAGTAAGTAAAAAAGTATATAAATAGTAATAATTTTATTATTTTTATAGTATTACTAGAAATAAAGAAAGTTATAGGTTTTATAGCTGTTAATAACTAGCAAACAGTAGCTGCTAATAGTACACTTCTTTATATGCGCGTTAAAGTGCTTTAACTAGTCTAGACTAAGCTAATTAGTAGTCTAGCTGCGTGTGACGGCGCGTACCGCCTCACATGCTCTGCGGCATCAGCTCCCTCGCTTGCGCAACGAGTAGCACGCTAGTGCTACGGGTAGCGCCTTGGCAGGGGGCACACATGTATATTTAAACTCGCAGAGCAGCTCCTCTGCTCCTGAGTTTAATCTAGTTGAGTTACACCACCTCTTGCTTGTAGCTTGAGCATGCCGACCGTGACACTGCGCTTAAAAACTATAATAACTTAATTTTAAAGTAAAATTTTTTTATACTAGTTTAAAAAGTAATTACTACTTTAAAAAATAATCAAAAGTAAAATAGCCTACCTTTTAGTATTAAGGCCTTAGATAGCTGTTATCTACTTCTAGTTACCTAGCTAGACTACTTTTAGCTATCTTTATCCCTCTAGACTTATAATAACTACTTTAGTAGATATCTAGCTTATTATAAACCTTATCTTATTAAAGTTATACATGTTATTATTTTAGATGCTATACTTAGCTTTAATTGTTTTTATAAAGTTAAACTAGCTTTAAATTACTATAAGATTTTTATAAAAAGCTTTTTTATAGTTATACTTACACTTAAACTTTACTTTAAGCTTTAAGTAGCACTTAATAGATATATTAGGCTAGTTTATACTAATATAGCTTATATTATGCTTAGTGTGTAAAGAATTAGCTATATTAGCTATAGCTGCTAGCTAGGGGGGAAATTCTTGTGCATCTAGCTTAAGTATGTGCTAAATAATTACTTACTTCTTATTATTATTTAGCTTTTATAAGTTAGCTATATAATTAGCTTAAAAAGGTTATCTAGCGTGTTAGTTACTTATTATTTTTTAAAAAACTTGATAGATAGCTGCAGTGTGTTGCTTAAAAAGTTTTACATTTTATTTAAAAGCTTAAAGTGTAAGCTACATCTAACATTTTTTTAACACATTTAAGTAGTGTTATTAGGAATGCATTAGTGTAAAACAAGTAGTATAGTAGGGTCTTAGCAAAAGTAAGCAACTTAGGTGTGTAAGCAACTTGCCTGTAAAGTATGTTAATAGTCTTTGCATAATTTTTTATACCTAGCTAATAGTAAAACTTATAGAGCTGAATTCTTAAGCGCTTACCTTTTTTATTAACATATACTAGATCTATGCTATATTTTTATATATAAGATGTTTAAGTTCTTCTAGAAAGCTCTTTTAAGCTCTTTATATAATATTTAAGGCCTTTAGGCTTTAGCTAGCAACTTTTAGTCTAAATATTATCCTACTTAATGTTAAAATTTAAGCTATTGTTAAGGCAAAGGTCTTTAGAAAACTTATAAGAATAAGGATTAGCTAGTTAAAGCGTAAGTAAAAAAACGCTAAAAAATAAAGCCTTAATTATAAAGCTTTAAGAGCTTTAAAAGATAGCTTTTAACTTCTTAAAGTAAAAAAAGCTTATAAAGTAAGGCTTTAAAGTACTTAAATAAGTAATGTTAAACTAGTGCTATAACCTTTAAGTGCTATATAGAGTTTAAAAGAATTTTTGCATACTTATAGTAATAATAGAGGCAATATTAGAGGTAAGAAGTAAGTAAATTAAGAAGTTAATTTACTATTCTGTACTAACAATAGATAGGATAGTTAAAAACGTATAAAATTTAGTGTATTAGTGCGCGTTTTAACACCTCCTGTTCTACAGCAGCCCTTGTACTACTACGCGTGAAAACGTCCTCTACGAACGCGTTACTAAAACACTAAGAAATTAATTAGTATAGGCAGTTACTGTAGTGACTATAGCCTCATTAACTGTACAGTAACAGAGGGCAATTCACTTTTGTTCTAACTGCTAAGAGATTGTTACTATTAGTAATAGTAGGAACAGTACTACGTTCTATTAAACACCATGCCAGCATAGTGCCTTTGAGACGGTTAGTCGTACGCTCAATCAAGGAACGTGGAGAAGAACAACTCGCCAGAGAAATTAGGATCGTCTAATCGTCTCAATAGAACTCTTGATTCTTGATCCGTTTCACATATAGGCGTACAATAACACAAATGGTAGCTAGTAGGGGAAATACCACTGATACAACGACCAGTGTGGTCGTAGTCAGAGAGAAGGTAGGATCAATGGTCATGATTGATGAACGTGTCAAATTGCACAGGCAACTATGGATATCGGGATGGTGATAATGAGAAGCCGAGTAGATAAGTTTAAACTACAAGCAAGCTAGCCTTCACCTACATATGCTAGCGGAACCTATTGATAGACCTAGATATATTGTGGTGTAGGCATGATGCGAATCCACCCTATTGTCGGAGGCGGGCCGAGCACTTGTGAAAACAAAACAGTCTGATCTACATACCGGGATGCAGACTTGGAACCCGAGGGCGCATATATTGAATGCAGATGCACGCGAGGGGCACGACAGTAGAATTAGATTGCGGTGTTCGCTGAATAGTGGGCGTTTGGGACGCCAATTTCACCATATGCATGTTTGCGGCGCAACTTGTTTGATATTAAGGGAGGGTGGAGTGCCTATCATACGTTATACCAGATTTGGGCAATGCTGGTGGCCGACTTCAGCGGCGACTGGTGTGTCGAGGCCGGCGTCAATCATCTTGCATATGCGGCCCGCTCGTTGTGTGGAGTCGCAGAGAAGAGTTGAGCTTTGGCTAGACTTTTGTTTGAGGAGTAAAGGCCATAGCATTAGGATCGCTACTCGATTTGCTACACCGGATTCTCGTCACGTCGACAAACCGACGTCTCAACCCCAGTACTGAATCTAAACAGCCATCACGGTTTAATTCCTAGCCCTGAAATGAAATCTAACATTTTCTCGAAGACCTTCTGACGCCCCAGATGCAAGTTCAAGTTGTGCCCAAAATTAGGAAGCGTGATTGCTTGTGACTGGTTCGAGGGTGCGTTGGGGAAAAAAATGGCCATAGCCTGTGCTGTCACATCTCCGGTCGCAAGGCAGTTTCCTTGGCAGTAGAAGTAGTCTTGCTGGCCATTTAAGATGAGTACAGGCTTCTTGAACGCTGTTGCCGGCATGTAGATGTTCCCCAGTGTAAGTGTTTCTCCGATGGCATTAGTTTGGCGAGTGTTGTATCCTTGAAGGAATACTGCGTCCTGGTCAGTACGATCATGAATACAGGAAGTAAGAATCCTTCGGCTTCCCCCAGAGCGATCCACGACTTCGCTGTCAGCGCCAATGGCGTAATAGAGGCAGTGATTCTTCTAAGGCAAGGTTTCACTTACTTTTCGGGTCAAAATGAGGATAGTAGAAGAAGGCAAACTGAAGTGTCTGATGACCGGGACCCAATGTGAAGTAGCCGTTTGGGAGATGCTTGAACTCCGGTCGATCTACGAAAGTGTTGGCAATCTGCTGAGCTGCTGCAGCGAAACCAGTACCTGCCCCTCCCGTGAAGCCCGAATGTCCAGTGAGAACCACGGCATTGAAGTCTTCAGGGTGGCTGCTTGATATGCCCTGAGTGAGAGCCGAGCCGAGAGAGTGCCCCACACCAATGATCTTGTTGAACACTAGGTTGCCTAGATGTCCCCCTTTCAGCTTCCGGATGAGGGCATGTGCAAGCTCAACCTGCAAGGGTGCTTGGACAACCTGATAAGGGTCAGGATGCTCAGACTTTCCGGTCCCAAGTCGATCGTAGGAGAAAGTCGCGTAGCCTTGAAGTGCTGCCGTATCCACATAGCTGTAACCATCCGCAAAGTCCCAGTAGGAATTGTCGGTGGTTCCTCCGTGTGTTAGAAACTGGATGCTGGTGAGGCTTCTGACCTTGTCTTTGTCTGCTGGAACGCAAAGCTTTGAGTATACGCTGAATGTATCAGAGATAGATGTTTGGCTCCCAGTATAGCGAACAAGAGTATTGCTTCCAACGCGAAGAAAGTCCGTGATGAACTCAGTGAGCTCATAGTTGTTGTCCGGTCCTTTGTATAGAACGTTGACAGCTGATGCAACCACTGGAACATCAACTATTCCTGATACGCACACTGCTTTGCCACCGGCGGAATAGTGGAATGAAGGGCTTGATATGCCTGAGGTACTTAGAGCACCGTACGAAGATATGCTGTAAAGAGGCATTGTAGTGGAGGCGTTGCTGTCAAAGAACCCGTTCCACAGACTCGCAGCCTGGGAGAAGCTGTTAAGAAAGTTTTGCATTCTGCTATTGGGGGAGTGGAGGATATAAATGGAAGAACAACCGAATGAAATCGATCAATAGTGGACAAAGTGGAGCGGGAGATGGGGTGCGTTAGGCTCTCCTTGGAAAGGGCTTTTTTGGAGGCGTAACGCAAGAGGGCGTCGGTTCCTTACGCCACGTGCGATCCTTGTCCATCCGCTATTTCCAAGCTGCCGCTATTGTGCGCCAGGTAGGGAACCACCCGCATTTCAAAGTCTGGTGCACATGTCTGGACACTCCCGCGTGCAAACAACTTGTGTAGGATAACACAACCTGATATAGCTTATTTCTCTATATACAACTTATGGTGCCTCAGAGGTCCCTTGCACCTCATTAGCCTTCTCCACAGCAACATCTGGTGAGGTTTTTGGCAACCGCTTCCACTCCATTCCGCACGCACAGGGGAAGGACGCGAGCCCGCACCCAACTGTGATGTACTGCAACACAATCAGTTAAAATTTGGTTCTGCTTCAAGCAAGAAAAACCTTACAAACACGCGCGTGCAGACATAGCTATACGATTCGCGGAGTGCTAGAATTAGGTTAGGGCCAGCGACACTCTGCAGCCCACTAGCTCCCGCATTGATCACTTTTTGGGGGTCCAGAGACGGGACATGTTGTAGCAGATATGGCCTCAGCACAGAAGCGAAGACAGGTTGGCCGAGAGCCACGAATAACCCTGCGCTGAATGCCTGCCGAAATATAATCACCGTCGTGCCTAACGGAATTGTCGCACGTGTCTCACGCGATATCATACCCATGTACTGCACTATTCACTCATTAGGCATAGCTCCTATCTCGTACAGTATACAGTCAGCTCAGAGCTCTATTGAGCTCCTCAGACCTTACAATACACTTGTTTAATCCACTTTGTTTAGATCTCACTACCTTGTTAACTCGCTTCCTATATAACCCCTCCTTAGCTTATGCAAGAGTTATGAGCCTAGAGTTGCGCTCCAGACTAGTACTATAGTCACCACTGCACATTTAGCTTTTGCATCTGGCTTAGGGGGATCTACAAACCTTAACACATATTAATCACAGATTGCTCACCACTTAAGCCTAATTAACTAGACAATAACTACAGCGGACTGTTAGTTGGTGAAGGGAAAAAACTAATCGCTAATCGCTTAGGAGCATTTTAGGTATAAAACACTATAGTATTTTACTAGGCAAAACATACTATAACGCATTTATATAATGTTTTTTAAAGCGTTAATGCCCTAAGCAGAGCTAGAAAGTGGGGAAACCTGTTGCGTTGGTGGTGGTGGTGATGGTAGTCGTAGTTACGGTGATGGTGGTAGTTGAAGTCGTGGTCGACAGTCGGGGCTGGTAGCTGCCGCGCCAATGGCAGAGCCAGTGCGCGCATCCCCGCAAAGGAAAACTTACAATCAACAGTCGCTAGGCTAAAGCGTTGATGCCCTAAGCAGAGCTAGGAAGTGGGGAAACCTGTTGCGGTGGTGGTAGTTGAAGTCGTGGTCGACAGCCGGGGCTGGTAGCTGCTGTGCGAACTGCAGAGTCTGTGCGCGCGTCGCTGCAAAGGAAAATCAAAATCTACTGCGCAGTCGCTGGGTTAAGGTATTAATGTCCTAGGCACAGCTAGAAGGTGGAGAAACCTATTGTGTTAGTGATTGTTGTGGTTGT